GTGTGTGCGACCCCCTTTGTGTGCACATGCCTCTGTGCATGTGTGGATGATCTCCTACACTGCATGCCTCTGTGCACGCACGCATGTCTCCCATGCAGTAAACACCCGACAATCATCTGGCTTGTGGGGGGCGCGTGCATGCACAATGGGGTTCTTCTCAGCAACTTCTCGCATGCCCACAGAAGAGGCTCTGTGTACCACTTCCGGCATGCATGCCATAGGTTCGCCATCACAGCCCTATGATATACTATGTGAAAGAACCACCGACCTAAGTGCACTGGCACTAAACAAATGAATTAACAATTTGTAAGCTATTTTAGGCATACTGCTAAATTTATTCCAGAAAACTCTGTTCCACAAGTAGTATGGTTGTTTCTGTTCTTTTCTGTTTTATTTTGCAAAGGTATATTTAGAATATAGTATTAAAGGCCTATAATTCAGTGACCCAGACACCTAAATTTTGATGTCAGCTAAAATTCTACAATCAGCATTCCTTATTTGCAACATTTAGTGTGTTTGCACGATGCTAGATAATTTTCAGACTAAATAGCAAATATTTGTAGTGAACAATGTAAGTCCTAGGTAAGCTGAATATACATTAAAAATTATTTTGGGAATGCCTAAGACTGAGAAAATTTTTTTGCATTGTGACATAAATGGCACAAAAAATGTTCCTTACTGGTGTTTTTAAAAATCTACTTTTTGGACCAGTTAGTGGTCCAGAAAATAGGTCATTTTACCCACTATCAATCAACAAGGAAAAAGATGGCAGTTATTTCCTTTTAAAAAAATAATATATATTGTGTTGTACAAATCCAATACCTCTGGCTAAATATAGTATTTTAAATATGATTCTACCTGGCCTATGCAAAATAATTTATTAAAAACATACTAGAAAAATTGAATAAACACACATGTAAATAATAACAATGACAGCTCTTTGGGTTATATTTGTTTTGGTTTTAATATTTTTAGATACATCTATTATTTGAATTGAACTTTCTAACAGTCCTTTTATGAGTTTTTATTGCAGTAATAAACAATTTTTCAAAGAAAATGTAACCATTTCTGTAAGGTAGAGGTTTTTTTCCCTTGTAATTCTATCCAATAGAATCCTTCGTGCCATATACCATTTTGTTCCAAAAAGCTGTTTACCTCCCCTGCCCCCACAGCCACTCTCCACCAAGAAACTTGAAGGGAATGGTAGTTTTAAGGACTTCTGATTGATCAAAATTGGGACACTTTAATTTGCAAAAGTACTTTCTATCAGATAAAACCATCAATTGATACACTTTAGGGCAGGGTTGTCAAACTCGTGGCCCGTGGGCCAGATGTGTCACGTGCTGGCCACGCTCATGCCCAGTTTAGCAAAGGGGGGAAATCATGATAGATCATGTGACGCTGCTGTGACAACGTGAGTTTGAGCTCTCCCTTAGAGCTTTTCAGTATGTTGGCGCATATTCATTTTAACAATAAATATTGTTACTTCATCATTTTGAGAGGAGGGAATCTAGATACATTTTATGAAATTTTATCTTTGTTGTAGAAACCTTTCTTCAACCTTGAAATTTGTACACAGAACAAATACAGGTGTTTTTAAGATAGCATAGCTATTGTTATCATCAGGCAAAATTACTACAGGAATCTATTAGATACTGCTAATGTCTATCAGTAAAATTTCCTATTACCATTCAATTCCTATCAACGTAGAAGCAGATGACTAGGGTTAAAAGATAAAGCACAACTATGTTCTTCCTTTGACGTCCTACTATTTGAACATTCATTTAACAGAGAAATAAGAGAGACAAGGTGATGAACGTATCAGTTTCTTAGACTTACTTGCAAAAGTATTGCTAAAGGTTTAAAATATAATTAGAATGCCTTCATTGGTAAAGGCTGTCTGACTAATCTCATCCCAAATCAAATACAATTTTAAATACTTAGTAGTATTCAGCAAACGTTTAATTTTCCTGTACAACAATTTAAAAGAGGAAATTAATTAGATTACAGGGAACTCTTACAGGATTTGAGTAAACCAATGTAGACTTTTGACTTTCAAGCAATAGTGAATAGTTGCTTTCAAGCAATAAGGATCTTTTCTTTGCTGCATTTAAAATGGTAAGTTCTTGTTTTTTCCCCATTGTTCTGATCTTCATCATGTGCAAAGTTGTCATTTCTAGGCTTAGATTTTCCTTATTTTCCAAGGATCTGAGAGAAAATATAGTCACAACAAGGGTAAAGATGATAAAGTGTACACCACTAGCATTTAGCTGGAACTGGTAGCTTATGCTGATAACAATGTATGTATCTAGCTATTATATGAATGTGATGCACGAGCTCTTTCATTCTGCCTGGGTATGTGAAAATACATAGTAAATACCTTATTGTGGCCTCTTCAAAGGCACATGATTGTATGCCAATTCTTAAGCATAGTCCTCAGGCAAAACTCTCCCTTGCCTTGACTCATGTGGAGGGTTGCAGTGGAACCAATTTATTCAGCTTTGAGTCAAAGGGAGTTTGATGTACCTGACATATGATTAAAAATACAACAAAAATACTTAAATGTGTCAAGCAACAATGCAGTCAAAACAATACTGAATATTAAGTGTTTTGACATCTCTATAATAAAATACCAACATCTTCAAATACATTTGGATGAGAAAGAAGACAGAATATTCATTGGGGAGGTATCCTTGCCACCATTACTATTTTAACCATTTAGTCGGGTCCGACTCTTAGCAAAGTTATAGGCAAGCACTCTCCATTCTATCCTGTTAAACACAGGTTCTTTCAATTGTTGGATGTTCATCTTTGTATCAGATCTTTGCCACTACTTTGTTCAATAAAAAAAAAATCTGCCTACTTTTATACTCTAAGAGGGGATTTATGAAAAGTCTTTTATAAATGAGGATCTAGCATTTATTTTATAGGAAACAACTGGTTTACTATCAGAAGCACAACCTTAACAGAAGACAAAAGGACAATTATCAAGAAATTGGAAATAAATTCTGTGCATCCATAAATAAATCCCTTGCAATTTATTGAGCATGCATTACAGGCCTCCACATCCCGGAACACATAATTTTTAAGTTTATAATTGCAAGATAAATTTACAGGATAAAATGTAGAACACTGAAAAAAAACATATATTTCTCCAAGTCGCAATAACACAGAAAATCATTATTAATTGATGAATAATTGGTACACAGATGAAACTCTTTGGAAACAAACATTCCTGGAATTTGGTCAGGTTTTTTGCTTAGAGAAATCTATTCTTAATTTCTCTATATTTGTATATTCATTTTATTAATTTGATAACAATCAAATAATCAAATTAATGAATGAGTTGTCATTTGTTTAACTTGACTTTGTATCAACAGACTTTAATTACTTAGTACTTACAGATATAGACCCAGAACAATGACAGAAGTGACTGGAACACAAAATTCCAAGTCATACTTCTAAGAAAGGACCATAGTTAACTTAAACATACCACTGATTAAGTTTTAAGCAATTTAATCATTTGGACTTTCACTCTGCCCTCTTTAAACAAATGTAACTAATTAAATTGGGTACAAATGACTACAGGTTTCTCTACTCTCTCTCATTTACTGTTCAAGGTGATGATTCATTCTACAAGCCTGCCTAGAGAGAGGGCATGTATATCATCTTGCTTACATTCATGCTCATTCATTAGGTAGCTAATGGATAAGCATGTATGTAATTTCAAAAAAGTCAGTCCCTCAGCTCCTTTTTATATTGCATCTGCATCTGTGAACATAAAACTTTATTCAGGCTTTTTTGGCCCAAGGCACCTGCTGCCTATCCATTTCCCACAGTAACATCAAATAAGCTTTCTGAAATTAATCAATATGAAGTACCTAATCAGTTTATTCTATATGTATTAGGAAATTTGGAGTATTTTCCATTTTGTAGACAAGGCTTATTTACTCAATAATGTTAAGTTGGTAATTGAGGACCCAGATTGTTGGTGGCAATATGCTGACACTGTAAATCGCTTAGAGAGGACCATAAAGTACTGTGAAGTGGAATACAAGTCTAAGTGCTATGGCTATTTTACAGAATTAGAAACTATACTTTATAATAATCTTATCTCAAAGTTGCAAATTTTTTTCATGTAGAATTTCCTGTATTTTCTCTGAAATTCTTTCTGCTGTTTTAGGGAGAACAGGCTCGATTAAGAGAAAAAAATAACCTCAATGACCGCCAGAACTTGCCCGACCTATCTTGAGTTCAATGGAATTAAATCCTGGGACATTAAAAGCACGCATTCGGCAGCAGACCTCACTAAATTCAACCGGATTAACCGGACAGGTGTAGTGAGGATCGTTGCCAAGAAAATTCATTCCATGGTCTATTCCAAACCAGACTTTTCTTGTGGAAAAAAAATGGAAATAAGATATAGAGACTTGCCCAACTCTGAACAAGGCTCCAGCACAATTAAAAAAGACTACTTTAAACTCAAGTCCAGCACAGTCCGGTTCTTCACATTGTGCCTTTTTTATTCTTCAGCGACTCACGGCAGGTTGCTTGCAAGCAGCCCTCCCGGGTCTTTATCGAACTTGGGCGACTGAAACAAAAATAAACCCGCACCTAACTCCCAAGCGCTTCTTATCCGCAACCTCGTCCTCCATGCAGACCCAGCCCCTTTTCAGTCGCCACCCTTCATTGTTCCTTGCAGCCTTGCCCGGCTACCGCGCGGCTCTCCCTCGTCCACGCGGATTCAAACTCAACGCCCTCAAGTGTTAGTAATTCCTCCTCTTACACAGAGACACACGCACACACACAAACCCAGACGCTGAGGGAGGGAGGGAGGGAGGAAGGTTGGAGCGATAGGCGTTCAGCAGCTTTCCCAGCGCGCCCTCGCCCGCTCTTGACCTGACATCGGCGCGCGGATGCTTTCCTGGAGGTGCGCGCGCAAAGGAGGAGGAGGGGGAGGGAGGAGGTGAGCGGCGTTTGTGACGCGCTCGTGATAGAACGGCGGGGCGGCCGCGCGCACGAAACGGTGTCTGCGAGCGTCTCTCTGTCTCTCTCTCCCTCTCTCTCTCTGTGAGAAAAGGCGGGGAGGAAGGAAAGGAGACAACCGGGGCGGGGAGCGAGGCGGCGGCGTTGTTCCGTGAGGCGAAGGAGAGACGCTGCCGAACAGGAAGCGCTGCCACCAAAACCTCCGAGCCTCTCGGTGCCCTGCACTTGAAGCGAAGAGGGCAAAGTCTGGGCTGCGTGAAGGAGGAGGATTTGCTCGCCGAGGGGCGGCACCAGAAGGATTGGTTGCCCTGCTTGCCTTTTCCTTCGCCGCCTCCCCCCACCCTCCCACCACCAACCCGCTTTATTTTTATTTTATATTTTGTGAGGTGGGGGGGAAACCCCAACATATTCACCGGGAACTCCGTTGCCGGGCCGTCCCGGGCCCTCCCGTCGTGTCGGTGGCTGCGAGAAACGCGGAGGACGGCCGAGAAGGATGTCGGGCGGTGGTGGTGGTGGAGGTAGCCGCGAGGAGGAACGGCGCAAGCTGGCCGATATCATCAACCACTGGAACGCGAACCGGCTGGACCTGTTTGAGATCAGTCCCCCCACTGAGGTGAGAGAGAGAGAGAGAGGGAGAAATACGAGAAAGGTTGTTTTTCCCTGACGGCCTCTCCCCCTCCCCGCTCCGCTCTTTTCCGCCTCAGGAGGTGGAGAGGTAAACCGCTGCTGTTGCTGGCCGCTTCCCCCGCCTCCCCTCCCCTCTTCAACAACCACACATGCCCCAACTCTCTCTCCCCCCCCCCCATCTTCCCGTCCTGCGGACGCCTCCATCCTCGCCGAGGGGAAACTCCGCCCCTTCCCGAGGTGAGAGACCCGGCGTCTTCCCGGGAAAGAGGTCCCCTTTTCCTTCGCGTACATCGATTGTGCCGGCGGGTTGGGGTGCAGGAGGGATGGAGTTGGGGGTGTGTGTGGAGTGGAGAGAGAGAGTATCTGGATTTTGCTAGCGTTACCTTTTTTTGATTAGAAAGTGACCGGCCTCTACGAGGGCCTCGGTAGTTCTCGGCAGGGAATAAATCTACTTGTACCTGACCCCAGGTTTTTAATGCTTGCAAAATTGCCAGCCGTCGTCATTTCCACCCGGCGAGGAAAGGATTTCGGGTTGTAAACAGAAGGACGCCGTGCCTTGGCTTTACCACTTCCCCCACCGACCCCCCGTGGTCGTGATTCTCCAGGCACCCGCCCCCTTCCCCCCAATTCCCCATGTGTCCCGTCCCCCCACCTTCCTGCGCTTTGGAGGCATTGCCGTTCCTGTTACAGGCCTTGTCCAGCCACTGCAATCCCCGGATCAGCCTTGTGTTTCCTTTCAGTGATTCCCCAACTACTTCCTGACTCCCTTCCCCTGCACTTTTTCCCCAATACAGGTAGTCCTCGACTTACGATCACAATTTCTGTTGCTAAGTGAGACATTTGTTAAGGGACTTTTGCCCCGTTTTACGACTTTTCTTGCCACAGTTGTTAAGTGAATCGCTGCAGTTAAGTTAGTAACACGGCTTCCCCATTGTCTTTGCCTGTCAGAAGGTTGCAAAAGGGGATCACATGACCTCAGGACATTGCAACCGTCATAAATATGAGTCAGTTGCCAAGCATCTGAATTTTAATCATGTGACCAAGGATATGCTGCAATGGTTGTAAGTGTGAAAAACTACCACATAAGTCACTTTTCAGTGCTACTGTAACTTTGAAAGGTCACTAAACATACTGTTGTAATTTGAGGACTATTTCCTGGCTGAGCCCCAATATTACCACCCTTGCAAAGCCCTGCGTTCTAATTTCCATAGAAGTACGATTTAAGAAAGTGCACATAATAGGGCTGTTATTCCTTTTTAGAAATCTCAGGATCAATAGAAAGTATATCAGGATCTTTTAGACACTTAAAAGACAGTTTCATATTGCACATTTATTTTTAAAATAAATTTTGATAACCAATTGATTTCTGTACTGATTTATTGATTTGTGTGTAGAGATAAACACTGAAAACATTTAATGTGTTCAAAATATTATCCCAAATATATAGACTAATTTGTTTAAATATACTGTATTTTTGAAGTTAATTTTAAGTGGTTCTTTCAAAATATTTAAAAATGTTTTATTGGAAAACTGCATGGATAAATTTTTATTAAATTTCTGTTTAAATTGAAAAACTTTAAAAATAATTTTAAAGCCACAGTTAAATGCTGGTGCTGTTATATTTTTAACTAGTTGTGAGTGTATACAAGTCTAATATGAGAAATGATGTAGTCAATAATTTTGAAAGCTGTTTTTTCCTTGGGCAAAACAGGACTATGATACCTGCTTATTGGGTAGAGATTTGTCACATGCCTGTTCCAAAGATAACAAATGAAATTTGCATTTGAGTGTGATTGGTCTTAAATTGTTAATGAAAGCTTTCTGATTAATATCTAATATGTTAGATTTCCTTTTTTAATAATTAGGTCAGCTTCAAAAAAGCAAATGTTCTTGTGTATCAATCTATGTGATCTATTTAGTTAGTATTTAAATTATATTTATTTCTCTGAAGTTTTTTAAGTAAGGATATAGACAGCTGAAACTGGTTGTTTTGGAGGAAAACACTTGTTAGTTTATTTTAAATATAGATCAGTTATGTGTGCATTGTTTATTTTTTCCTCACTTATATGACGCTTAGAGCTTTCAGTTTACAAACAGAAAACTGTGTTTTAGATTAGCAATTCAAATTTTATTGTAATGCTTGCTCAAAATGTATTTTTCAAGTTAACAAATTTGGCACAGGTACATAAATTATCATTGTCTGAGGAAATACCACAGGGAAGAGTGCAGTCTTTGGATAACTTAAGTTCTTATTAAAAACAACATTTAATGATGCACTTCAGTAAACAAAATAATTCTTTATGTTTCTTGGTTACCTTTTCCCTGAAACTCCACTATTTGTGCAATTTGAGTTTGTTTTGCTTTTGTAGAGCAGAACAATGCTTTTAATTCTCCAGTATAGTCACCTTGTACATTTGTATTGCCAAATGCTTACCTGATGCATCGGATATATTAGATTACGTCTGTACACTGGCCACCATTCTTTAGACTGTAGTGGTCTTTGCATGCTTGTATTTTAAAAAGAATTCACTTAGCAACATATAACCATTTGAACATTTTATCTAATGGAATTTGCTTAAACTTAAGCCATGCTGAACTTGTTTTCTTTAACATGAAAGTGGAGAAACACCTGTATTGTCATGGTAACCAAGTTATTTCCTATTCTCTGTCTTACACAGACTTCATGATTTCATTTCTGTTTGTACCTCATTTAATTTATGCATGTATAAATTATGTTCCTCGGCCATATTTTTTATTTATTATAAGTGCATTTAAACAATATGCACTTATTGACAATAATATCTTGAACAACACACACACACACACACACACACACACACACACTCACACACACTAAGTCCTAAGTACATCCTAAGTACTGTACATATTTCAATACCTTTTCCATCTCCAGATGTCTACTTAAACAGGCAAGTATTAGTAACTTTTATGAATATTAAGAGCAAGAATGAGGATCTTGTTTTAGTCCTTGACTTACAACTACAATTAAGCCAAAATTTATCTTACTAAATGAGACAATTGCTAAGTGAATTTTACCCTATTTTGTGACCTTTCTTTCCACAGTTGTTAATGGAATCACTTCCGTTGTTAACGTTGTAACAACTTAAGTGAATCTGGCTCCCCCATTGACTTTGCTTGTCAGGATGTCGTAAAATGTGATCACCTGACCCTAGGGCACTGCAACCATCATAAATATGAGTCAGTTGTCAAGCATCTGAAATTTGATCACCTGACCACTAGGGTGCTGCAACGGTCGTGTGAAAACGGGCATAAGTCACTTTTTTCATTTCTATTGTAACTGAACGGTCACTGAACAAATGGTTGTAATTCAAAGATTACCTGAAGTCTCATAGAAGAGACTCCCTGGCAAAGAATGTATGCTTCTGAATCCCTTGCAATATGCCACACCTAATAAGAGCTCTAAAGCACAGGTTCTCTATGGCATATCTTGCCTTTACCTAATCTTTCTCCTCCCCCAGCAGTTCTGTCCTATCTATTACAATTCACTTGACCTTCATCCTGCAGCGTTTTTATTTATTACAGGCAGTGAATATACGTTTTGAAAAACATAATACAGTGTAGGCTAAGTGTGGTATTCTGAATGTTGCTTAACTGCAACTTCCAGCATTTTAGTTATACTTGTTGGATTGGTCACCGTTGTAGGTCAACAATATGTGGGGTGCTATTTACTGTTACCTACTCCCAGTGTTGTACTATTAGTGACATAGCACAGTGCTTTCTTAAGGAACAAAATATGCAAGCTACTTTCAAAAGGGCTTCGCAATTAAATACAGTACTGAATGGTGCTGAATTATTCATTTTACAAAAATCAAAAGTCAAGCTTTTATATTTCACATAGAAATTTTCAAGTATTCCAAATTTTGTTCTTTGTATAGATGTTTTTCTTCATAGATTTTCTTCTATAAATTCTTATTATGTTCTAGAAAGCATAATTATATATTATAATTATAGAAGTTGAAATTAAAACTTTTACAAAGAATTTATTAGGATGTTCATTGATAAATTGAATTTATATTTTTACAAGAAAGATAATTGACTCAGAACAAGGCTAATGATTTTTTTAAAACAAGTGAAAGGAAAGTATAACTTCCTATATATTATTGAAATACAACTTTTATCTCATATTAGAAATGCTGGATAAAAGTAGTAGTTGAATAATATTTGGATGGCCTTATATTTTCTACTCCTGAAACAACGTCTCTCTATATAAAACTAGAACAAAAGAACTAATCTCAATATTCTTAAGAATAAACATACCTGTTTGAAAAAGAAAAAGGCGGATAGGCAGAAATCTTAATAAATATACTCCATTGTTTCCTGTACTTTTAAAAATGTTTAGATTTTCATCCTCTAGCTCAGGAGTGTCAAACTGGATTTCTTTGAGGACCAGATCAGCATTGTAGTTCTCCTCTGGGACTGGCCAGCCAGGTGGTGGGTGGAGGATGGGACCAATGCCTCCTGTAGCATCCTGCCGGCTAAAATGGCACACCAAAATGGGGGGATGTGCATGGATGGCAGAAAATGGGGCGCATGGGAACTGCACGCGGTCCCCCGTGCCCCATTTTTGCTAGCAGAGGCACCATGGGACAGTCCTTTGCTATTTCTGGCCTGGCCCCATGGGCTGGATCTAGCCCACAGGCCTTGAGTTTGACACCCCTGCTCTAGCTATATGTTTTTATAAGCTGGATGGCAGATAGCATTCAGTATGGACTACCACTCTTCCTGCTTAGCAAGTTCAAGCAACAGATTTATCATACTTTCTTTTTCAGATTGTTTTACAATCACAAGATTGTAAGGCACAAGATAACAGGAAAGCAGAACTCTGTATTTAATGTTCATTCTTACCGGTGCTGCTGGTCAGGGCCCATATCAAATATCGTACCCAGTATTCCAGTAGGAACAATTTTAGAGAAAATGGTTAAAAGAATGAAGACCAAAAACTGAGAA